TGCATCCAATGGTAGCAGTTAATGCTCTGCACTTGTAAATGGAGCTTGTTTTACTTTGCTTCGTGAAGCGAAGGAGGAGAAGGGGTTCTTCGTTTTCCCTTTTTTCGTTGTTCTCAATTTGTGCACTCCACGCCACCCCGCTTGCTGTTGTTAATAATATGGCACCTCCACAACAAACATCCTATACATTTCGGTGAAGAGTAATAACTCCCGCTCGAGATTCCACTTTAGCATAGTCCTCGTAGTAATCAAGCTATACATGATTTACCATGGCCAGGAGGCGGTGTCACTTTGGTCGGTGCGGCATTACACAACTCATCAATCGCCTCACTCGTATTAGAGCTAAAGACGCAGAAAGATTTGTTTGTGTAACTAGCCGAGTTGAAATGTCGATCCTATTGGTGGGAGGTGCATGATGGATATTTACCCCCATATGCCTACAGTAATGACACTTTTTTTTCAGTTGAACATGGTATGGCTAATAAGCCAAAAACGATCACCGCACCCGAAAGTATCTTGTTTGAAAGAGCATGAAGCCTGAGACGTAAAGTTGGTCTTCTTGTCTCGCAAGAAAGTCGTCCCATGATTTTATTTGGTTGACAGCAGCAGAGAATAATGACCATCGACGACAAGCCTGAGAGGCTTTTGGCATCACAATGATTTTGGATGCCCTGGCTGTTTCTGGAATACTAACCATGCCATGTTTAATTGTGCAATCGTCATGTGTTAGTACCAGTGATCTTATTGATGGGAGCGTGATTGGTACATGTATGCAAAGTGAATGACTGTTTTTGGTTAAGGACAGCATCGAGCAAACTAGGAAAACGATGCTTCGGACTGGGATGAGTAGAGAAGATGGATGCTTGGGGACCTGATAGTAAGGCAATGGTGGCTGTTGTTGGATCATCATTATCATGTAAAGTGTAAAATGGCACACACCCTTTTGCTATACGTGATGATCATTTCTTTTATTTACGTGTACCTATTGTCTATCGTGAGGGTGATGATCATGATGGGTGGATGGTGTGTATAGGGTAATTGATGAGTGGCCTCAGTGTAATAGCAGTAGGGGGATTTAAACTTGGGGGACAGCAGCTCCACGACTTGAGACAGAGCTTCTCTTCTTTTTCTCCCACCTTTCCTTATTCCATTCACGACATCTCGATCAAGGTAATGTATTATAGAAGAGTGCTCTTGTTGGCTGTGAGGTATTAATGTAGTTCTGAACATGCCTTGTCAGGGAGTGAGTGTGTCCAAGTGCTGAGGAATGAGCGTGGCTGGTGGTTGGTGGTTGCCATGGCGATATCGTTGCTTCCTCTTGTTCGTTGCTATTCCCGCTCTACGCTTGGTGTCAACAGGTACATTCAGAGTCCAATGCTGCAGCCGAATTGGCTCCATTGACGCGTCAGCTTGTATAGAGAGCAAGTTTGGTTTCAAGACGTTGGCTGGTTTGGCGTTTTGTTTCGGCTCAACTATACTACACCATGGTTTTCGGTTTCCAGTAACCAACAACAACGGGTCTTTGTGTATATGGAAAAGGCAAGTACAATGAAACAAACAATGTAAAGGGTGTTCATTGTGTGTGTGCTAATAATGAATTGAATAGGTTTCTTTGGTCAGGCAATGCAACTTGGGGCATCATCATCATCTCTTTGGGTTCAAGTCCCAAGCCTGTATCAAGTGGTCGCTGCGTCGCTCTGCACTAGCCAAGTGTGCTGGAAAAGCCTCTTGGAACGCGTCCAGGGCTCTATAGGCCTGCGTTTGAGTTGATGGGTCGACGACGATGGGTTTTTGGAAGAGCATGGTCACCGTGCTGAGGTAAAAGGGGATTTGCAACAGCTTGTGAATGTGTTGAACCAACACGCTCTTCTCATGATAGGCTCGTTCTTTCCCTTGAGGATTTCTTTTCATGAGGTGGGAAATGATTGGAAGGATTGGGGATCATTCTTTCTTTGGAGAGGATGAATGAGAACAACTATGAGCTTGGGCTCTACGTAAGTGAGTCCTTCCTTGCCATGGATCGAACTGGCCTTGCGTGATTCGTGCAGTGCTTTCTCAAGAACAAGGGATCGCCCGACGTTGCTCGTATGGTGGTGATTTGGTTTGTGAATTCCTTCGGATTTGCTTTCTTCCTTAGAGAGGATCGCCTAACGGTATACCAAATCGTCATCATTCCGGTACCAGATGGTCTAACTTGCCTGCTTTCTTATTTGTAGAGACGGCGATTACGATGATTACCACATTCACAACAATGGCGTTTACGATGATCACCCCATCTACAACAATGACAATGATCACGACAACGAGATTCAAAAGGAAGCCTGCAAGATCCCATTCTTTTCAACTTGTGTATTTTTGGATGTTGGTGTGACGGATGAGATTGACGACTGGTGACGAGTACGAGTAGGAATGATGACGGAGGACGACTACGACGATGGTGGTGGCAATGTACAGTACATAGCAAGATAGCTAGATAAAATAAAGCATTGTTTATTTATTACACGCTTGTTGGAGGTTGCTAGCTTGTGGATTACACACTATTGCTTCGAAGATGGAATAATAAAGGTGGTCCGGTTAAGAAGTACATGGCTTTTGTGATACAATAAGGAGGAGTGGGAAGTGGGATGAGCTTGAGAAGAGAAAAAAGTGAAGAGATCCCTCCATTGAGTTTCAGGATAAGTGACTCATTCAATATGTATATGTATGTTTTTACATATACAAATTGGTTTATGCAGCTCGACTTTCTTCTACATGCAAATGTGATGCATACCTTGACACACCTTCATTATTGGATGCTGTTTACTTACGTACCTTCACAAAAGGCAATCATCATCATCATCCATTTGTGTAGCAACCTGTCAAGGACGTGTTTGTGTAACCACCACGTGCCGTTGTAGTGAAGGATGACAGCCCGCATGTGATGAAGCAGCCCGGAATGAAAAGATCGGCTTCCGAGACCTCACCCCAACATCCCACAAACCATGCATAATATCAGTAAAACAATCTTTCCATGTAGTGCAATTTGATCCTAAGCATATAAATACCCCCACATCAAATAAAGAACCAAGAGTGATCTTCCCAAATTTTGTGTGTGCCTTTGTGTGTGCCTTGCCGGCTAGTGTGTGTGTTTCTATTCGAAGGAGTATATACCCATATTCCCATTCTATTTCCCATCATTGTGCAATCCTATCATACATCATCTCTGTTTCCTCCCCTGTTCCATATCATATCTTTCCCCTCATTGTATCTCTTTACGTGTGTATTTGTTGAGACCTTTCGAGTCATCCCTAGTAGCAGTTGTGCACCAAAGGGTGCTTGATAGTAGATAGATGACTTTGTACATGGACACCTCGACTCATATGGCAGGGTATACACATTCAGGCCTTGCTGCTGGGCACGTTCCGTTTCCTTTATTTCACCGTTTCACTCAGCTCTTCATCTTTCCGTTAATGCAGCCGACACCATCCACTAGGAAAAAGCAACTCCATCACGCTTACAGCATCAAAGCGGAACAAAAAATTTACAATCCAATGCAAAGGAGGTATAGAAAGCTGCTTGTACTTGCGAGGGCTGGCAAGGATTTTACGGCATTGCAAGGCGCTGCATTTTATTGCTACGTTAAACAGAGAAGTTGGTAGGGGCTGCAAATGATTGCAAGATTGATGGTATAGGCTGCATACCACTGCATACCACCGCAAGGTTGGATATAGAGCTTGTGAGGGATTGCAAAGGATTGCAAGGTAGCTTATAGAGATTGCGAGGGACTGCAAAGTAGTGCAAGGCTGTTTATAGAGATTGTGAGGGATTGCTAAGGATTGCAAGGTAGCTTATAGAGATTGTGAGGGATTGCAAACCAATGCAAGATAGCTTATAGAGATTGTGAGGGATTGCAAACCAATGCAAGATAGCTTATAGAGATTGTGAGGGATTGCAAACCAATGCAAGGTAGCTTATAGAGATTGCGAGGGACTGCAAAGGAGATTATGATGGGCTGCAAAGGATAGCAAGGTAGCTTATAGAGATTGTGAGGGAGTGCAAACCAATGCAAAGTAGCTTATGTATGCTGCGAGGGGTTGCAAAGGATTGCAAGGTAGCTTATAGAGATTGCGAGGGTCTGCAAAAGATTGTAGTGGCAATGAAAAGGATTGTGAAGGCCTTACTGTAGGTGGCAAACAAATAATGCTAACTACCTCAGGCTAGCTTATACAAGTTGCGGCAAATGCAACCCTCTTCAATGTCACAAGGTGCCACATCTTAACCCAATTACATTATTTACGTGCAGATACGTTAGTTTACAAGGCTGCAGTGATGCCCATATATCCAAACATTAAATAGTATGCCCTGTCAACTGATTCCAAACTCAATGCTCGTGTGGCAAAAAAAGTGATATAACCATCAATGTATCGTCCTACATTGCAAACATTTTCTTTATGCATGTAAAGGGTACCAATATCCAACCACATAGAAAGAGACAAAGAGCTTTCTTGTGGTGTGCTATGTATCTCCCTTGTGTTGTTTGTAGAGTTATGCTTTTCCTTTTTGAGTCCCACTGTATCACCATCCTTATTGTGCTTTCCGGTATTTCAAGTTTCATTGTCCCTTTTTGGGCTTACGTTACGTTATTTGTGTTCACTAAACAAAAGTATACGGTGCCATTAGGTTGGTTTATTTACACCAGGCAGGAAGCATCACCATGTGATAACGTTTATAGATCGAGGCCATGAGCCGTGTCAAAATCCCATCGTTCTTTTCACTCTTCTTTGCAACACGACTGAAATCAATAATGGCAATAGCAAGAAAGCATAACGCAGAGAGCAAGTCATATGGATTGTGGATAAAGGATATGATCTAATTGCAGCAATTGTAGGAACAAGGCAACCAGATCGCAATGTAAAGCAGCGCCAAGCGACACGTGTATTGAACGACGTGAGCAATAAGGAGAAGTATGCACCAAATGTAACTGTAAAATCCCCTCCGCTTTGCTAAGCTTTCGTAATAGTATGACCGAGAAGACGCCTCGAGAAGATAAAAGGCACGAAGAGGAGGGTGCGGAATGTCCATCCCAAAGGACTTTGTGTTCTGACAATGGCAACGACGGTGAAGAATGGTATGCATTAAACCCACTCTTGAATGTATAGCATGTTACTTATTGGATCATCGTGGTAGCTTTGATGAAGAATGGTATGCATTAAACCCACTTTTGAATATATAGCATATTACTTATTGGGTCATCGTGGTAGCTTTGATGAGGAAGAGCACCTGGCGGAAGAGCACACTGGCCCTCATGTCTTACAAGTGAAAGACATCGATAATAGAAGGTAAAGGTTTCTTAATATAAAAGTCCTATGGTAGTAATTGATTTTGGCTCATCCCTAAGATTAGAAAATCTTTCTGTATTACTGAAAACGCTGGGGCGGAAAAGTGGTTACAGGGCGAAGTACGTCGATTCCTATACAACAAAAATCCGTTTCCAACCGATGAAGAGTGTGATGATGAATGCGTGGCTATGTGCAGGCGATTCCTGAAGCTTGATGACGATGATGATCAAAAAATAATACCTTCATACAAGACGACACAAGTTGTAAGTATACCTTAAAGAGAATTTCTTAAGGACGAGCTGTACATTGATTTGGACTTGTAGTTCTTTAAGAGTGTCTCATCCATAAGAGGATCAGTGCACACAAGCACTGGCAGGCAATTGCAAGCGTACGAATTTGACAATACCAACCTACCAGATAAATGCAAAGAGCGGTCACGACGACAGTATCGCTATCCCGTTGATGGCGTCAGGTATGATGGTTGATCCAATTACTGATCATTGCAGGTAGCTGATATTATACTACATAGATTTGCAAGAGAGAACTTCCGATCCACCGGCGCATTATTACAAAACAAGGCTCTTGGTGAGCTTATTGCAAAGATTTTCTACAATGACATTGTAGGAAAAGCCCGCATGCCATATCCTGAAAAGCCCTTGCCAATTCCTTTGATTGCATTTTCATTCTGTGCTGTAAGCATTTATATGTACGAACCGAAAGACCATCGATTGTATTAACCGCTTTTATTAGATTCTTTATCGCATGACCATTGCCTATGATATCAAGCTCATCGATCCAGCCATGAAGTCCCCATTTAAGCGAAACAGTGGATATTGGTATCGAATGTACCATCATACGCTCAAGGGAAAGGGGAGTACAGAAGATGAGAAGATTGATTGGCAAGCTGTTCAAAGTGTTCAAACACAAGTGGTGCGGGATTTGACAGGCAGAAGTGATGATATGAGTGGTGTCGCTACAAAAGTTTTGAGTGCGACGATTGTTGATGGTGAATACGAAACATCAAATGATGAAGCATAAAAGGCAACCATGTATGACAAAGAAAGGATGTATGCAGCTGTCAAATGATGTTGACTTGGCACAGCGTACTTTTTCCCATTGCGTCTTTTTTCCCACTGCATCTTTTTTCTCTCTTTTCTTCCTTCACCATAAGAGACCACGAATAAAATGGATGAAGAACGTTAACCATGTATGGCAAAGAAAGGATGTATGCAGCTGTCAAATGATAATACCAAACCTGGGATGAGGTCGACTTGGCCCAGGCTACTTTTTCCCATTGCATCTTTTTCCTCTCTTTTTCCCTTCACCATAACAGACCACGAATAAAATGGATGAAGAATGTTTCGCAGGTATATTGATATGGTACGTGATGGGGAGCAAACAAGGTATTAAGATACTCAATGTCTATACTAGGAGGGTCACGTAAACGGCACACCGGCACCGACACATATGCTGGCACCCCAACCAAACGCAAACGTCAATCCATGAACAAGTATGAAAGCGACGCCAAAGCTCATCCATCGAAAGGCACCTTGTCCGCTCTTGATCAGAAAGTTGCATCTCTAGCTTTCGACTTGAATCTTTCCAGTGCTGAATACCAAAGGTGCGTGCGTTTCCCACAAGTTCAAATGTGTATAGCTAATGGGCTTTTCACATGCTGTTGCAGGATCGTTGAGCTGGTACAATTTACACTCGATGACCAACAACCATCAGATGCCCGGTCGCTTTCGGTTGACACGTTGCAAAAGCTCAAAGGAAAATTACGTCGAGAAGCTGACCCGTGCTCCATACTGGTATGTGCCATAGGTTGTAGCAATTTTATCGCCTCGGCTGATTCCCAATCCACATAGCCATTTACTCATGTGGACATTGATCCTACGCATGTCCCAGATTTTCCACTGGATCATCTTGATGAATTCAACAGCAATATCGGACCACTATCGCTAGAGTATCGAGACATCCGTGACCTATGCGAGCATCTATTCTCTCATCCAGCATTTGCCGATACAATGATTTTGCAACCGAAAACGTATACAAGGAATGAAGAACGTGTTTACAAAGGACTTGATTCAGGGGAATGGTGGAACAAGCTTCAGGTTAGTGTTATCGTATACTATGAATCCCGTACATTCTTTCGCTTAACTTGATGCATATGATCAGACACAGCTTCCAGGATATGTGATATTGAGCATCATGCTTGCTTCGGATCAGACTCTCATTACGGGAAATTCGCTTGACAAAGCTTGGCCCATGTATTTGAAGCTGGGTGAGATTCTATAATATACCTTCATTTCTACACCATCTAACACAACTACCATACATTACTTAAGGTAATATTCCTGCGGAGGTCCGAGAAAAGAGCAAGAATCGGCCAAGTCGCGTGCTGGCGTATCTCCCGTGCCTTGAATGGAAAGGATCACCTCCATCTTGGTTGACCACTGCTAAGTACTCCGTAATCCATTATTGTCTATCGCACATACTTAAGCCGTTTCAGAGGGATGACGATGGCAAGTAAGTACGTATCACTTGGGTTTGTTGCTTTTATTCATTTGAAAGATAGGATCAAATCATACCGCATGAAGGGGCCTCATGGAAATCTTTACAAGTGTATACCGGCTCTTGCGACTTATTCGGCTGATTTGCCTGAGCAGTGAGTATATTACAGCTGAGCACAATTTAGTTGTCCATGTACCATGTTACAAACATATAAACATAGGAGGATGTTGGCTTGCATCAAAGGCGGCTCAAGCAAATGTCCATGTCCACGGTGTGAGATCCCAGCTATCAAGTTTCACAAGTACCAAAAGATGCCCCTTCCCGTCCGTATACAGGATCCAATGAAGCTGCGATATGAAAAAACAAAGAGGATACGAGTGAATAGCCGAAAAACGGCAAATGAGAAGAGGTATTCTTTCCATACTGTGCAGGTAGTAGGATAATAGTAGATCAGCTTGATGCATGTACTCAAGAATTTGGTGGATAGAATGCTTTTTGGGAGGTACCTCTTTTCGATATTTACAATTCGCTTGCCGTGGACGACCTCCATCAACTCGGTGGAGTATACAAACATCTTCTTCAATGCATGGAGACGTCAATGACTGAAACAAGTGATGGCAAAATGAAAATGGCAATGATCAATGAAAGGTAAGAGCGTTCATTAATATCAACAAAGATAGCAATGATGCTAATCATCGCATTTCATCAGAGCAAAGAAGCTTCCACCATTTGAAAACCTGAGACGGTTCAGCAGCGGTTTCCTATTAAGTTCATTGAAAAACCCAACGTATACCGAGATGCGCGATCATATGGGGGTACGATTACAATGATGGATGTATCGATCAAGCTAAGCATTTCATATTAGATTCTTATGTGTCTTGTTCATGATGTGATACCTCTGCAGATGGCACTTACTTTTCGACATTTTATTGACTTCTATTGGCAAGCTACTGCGAAAGAGCATTCAGAAAGCACGCTCAAGGATATGGATCAATCTTTGATGAATTACTACAAATACAGCGCGATTATGGAAAAATACTCCAAGGTAGGCTATTGGATGTTAGGCTTTGATTCAAAGATCGCTCTAATTGGTATGTACTATCTTTTGTAAGTGTGGTATGAAGTTTCCGAAGAATCATTCCCTGCTCAAATATGCCAATGATATAACGCAATATGGTGTCATCTCAAATTTCAGTACAACTCATTCCGAACGGCAGCATCAATGTGATTCGAAAGATCCCGCAAAGCATCTCAACCATGCACAAGGTACCGCCACGAAGCAGGTATGTACAAACCCGATGGAAGTGACACAATCAAGTACCCTGTGCTTACAACAATGCATTTATTTGGCTAGATGAGCGATTACATTTATCATCGCGACTTGTTGGATGATGAATACTATTCTCCAGAAGCAATCACACCAGCTAAAATTTGGCCGCCGGAACCAATTCACAAGCTTTCTTCAAAAGTATTCAACAAACCTGTCAGCATTTCTGAATTGGCCAAGATGAGACCCGCTTGCCTCCACCTTGAGCATTTGATTATGGTATACCTTGTAAGTCATCCTTGCCAGCATACTACTACAGATATCAATGATATGAGAAACGATTTTGAGAAGGTACATGCAATCATTTATTCACGTCGTGAAGATTATTTTAACATCTATAACAGATGATTGACATATATCAGCAACTGACGATCGAGGAGGGTGACGAGGATGGCGGGTATTGCAAAAGTGTTGTTCGAGCCCACCCATCTTTTTTTGGAAACGAGCGCTATGATTATGTACAAGTGGATCGAGGCGGTATCGGACAAGCATTGATGTTTTTCAAGCTCAAATTGCTTAATGGAAAAGACGATCAAGACGAAATTGTTGAGCTATGTTTGCTGAAGTGGATCAAAACTGCATTTGTTGCCCATGCAAGCGGATTACAAGCCTTGAAGCCCAGTTGCAATGTTGATATCATGTCTGTCGACTCGATCCTACGTCCAATACATGTCGTCCCTGATTTCTCCACAGCTTACACATCCGAGGATGGATCCGAGTCATATGGCCAATACTTAAAAAACCATGACGTGAACAGGTTTGAGTGGTCTCTTGGCACAGGTCGTTTGTTGTCAATCGAGGAAGAAGATTTTGTTGATTGGGAAGAAGACAAGGATATTACAAAGAGGGTTTTGCAAGACATGTTTATCATGCGAGAAGATGATCTTAGTGACGAAACCGATGAAGACTATATTGACGAAGAGGATTCTGATTTTGATGCCAGGCGGGGATTACCGATAGACATGTAATAGCAATAGCAGTAATAATAGTAAGAGTAGTGGTCATAGTAGTATTCATAATAGTATCCATAGTAGTAGTAATAGCTCAATAACAAGGAGAAAAGACTACATGTTGTGTTGAATTGTATCCTCTGGTAAATAGTTCAAATGGGATTCTGCCGTTGAGAGATGTGTAAAGCGCTGCAAGGGATTGAAAGGCACTGCTATGGATTGCGAGATTACATAGGACATTGAAAGGGACTGCAAGGCACTGCTATGGATTGCGAGATTACATAGGACATTGAAAGGGACTGCAAGGCACTGCTATGGATTGCGAGATTACATAGGACATTGAAAGAGACTGCAAGGCACTGCTATGGATTGCGAGATTACATAGGACACTGAAAGGCACTGCTATGGATTGCGAGACTACATAGGACACTGAAGGGGACTGCAAGGCACTGCTATGGATTGCGAGATTACATAGGACATTGAAAGGTACTGCTATGGGTTGCGAGATTACATAGGACACTGCAAGGCACTGCTATGGATTGCGAGATTACATAGGACACTGAAAGGTACTGCTATGGGTTGCGAGATTACATAGGACACTGCAAGGCACTGCTATGGATTGCGAGATTACATAGGACATTGAAAGGCATTGCTATCGATTGCGAGGTTATATAAGACACTGTAAATCATTGCTAGTACTGGCTAGGCGATGCAAGGAACGTTAGTAAGTATGCAAAGAAATGCAGCTCAGGTGGTTGCGTTTTATGCATTTTCAGCCTCGCAGCCCAATGCAATCCGATGCAAAATTTTTCTTCCACTTTGATGAGCATAGGTAAAACATAAACGTGCCTGTATCTCCAAACTTTACAATGAAACGTGTGGTTTTTATTAGAGCAACGGGCTCGGCTTGGCCAACAGCACCTTGTGTGAAAGTTTCACGTTCAATCTCGCAAGTAGCCCAAAAAAATATTTTTTGGTCGTCGTCGTCGAAGAGGTCGACCCCCAGATCCAGTTTGGCTGGTGGCGACATTGCGAAATCTGGGATTGGCAACCTTGATCGTGAAACTGGCACCCAAGGTGCAGTTGGCCAAGCCGAGCACATTGCTCTATTCAAAACCTCGCGTTTCATTGTAAAGTTTGGAGATACAGTCACCTTTATGTTTGTAAGCGTGATACTACATGAGAAATGGTCTTTGCTTAATGTAAAGTAGTATGACTATAATAGAGCAAAAGATGCAGAGGGCGAGTTTGTGTAACTTGAGTCAATCAGCACAGGTGATGCATGATTCTTGTACACAATTTAGGAATAGTTAAAAATGCCAGCTAATAACCTAGTCCTCCCATTCTCCATTGTTGCCCAATCCAATGCATACGAACGATTGTCCTGCTCCAGCCCAGCATGCCCATCATTCAACTTTCTTGATCCGATGAGATTAGACTGAAAAATGCTCAAACACAGAAACATCATCCAATATCAGAAGAATCAAATTGGTAAGTTATTTGTAAACTGCCGGCTAATAGCCCATTCCTCCCATTCACCTTTGTTGTCCAATCTAATGCACACGAACGATTGTCTTGCTCCAGCCCAACATGCCCATCATTTAACTTTCATGCTTCGAGCTAACCTGGTACTAATTAAGGTAATGGCTGTTGTTGGATCATCATTATCATGTAAAGTGTAAAATGGCACATACCCTTTTGCTATACGTGAGGATCATTTCTTTTATTTACGTGTACCTATTGTCTATCGTGAGGGTGATGATGACGATGGGTGGATGGTGTGTAAAACATGGAGGGAATGTCGTCAAAGGAATGGAGGGCTGTAATGAGATTTGATGGTGGTCATATGCTGTCTGGGTTTCTTCCATGATAGTCTTGCCGAGTATTGCGAGTTGAAGTAGCGAGTTAATTCTTGGAATGAAACCTGAAGCTGATGATTGAAATGGTAGTGGCTTCGTGCGTCGGATCCTTGACATATATCCACTTGGGCAATCCAAATCCAACATCTCGGTTTGGTGGCCTAGCAAATGTGACATTAGCAAGTGATCAATCATTCTTAATGAAAAGCCATACCGCTAATGTTGTAACTGACAATGTGGATGTGGTGGAGGAAGTCTGGGGCAGAAGTCATGATTGCAAGCATCATGTTTTCCATGACCATCGGTAACTTCAGCTTGCTATCATGCATCTCCTTCGTTTGATCCGGTATTTGCCCGATTTCAAGGCACCCAAGCGCCGCATGTATGCACTTATTATGTCACTCATAAAGGAGTCCTCGATCAGACTGGGGTTGCCTTTCGCCTACAAATGTACAAGGCATCCTTTTAATAACATTTGTCATCAATGTATAAACGATAACCATACCTACCACAAAGGGTCCATCAAGGCACACGTCCAAATGTCATTAAGAAGCAGCAATGAGTACACCAAGCAATGAAGTGAGCTACCTAGTACATTAAAACAAAAAAAATGAATGCATGAGTACCCTCATTTTGGGATCGCATTAAGACTATCCTTGAGACTTACCAAAGGTCATTGATGATGATATGAATACAAGTTGAAAGAAAAGGTGTATGATAGTATTGGCGACAACAGCCTTGTTTATATGTGAGTGGGCGTGTGAATTGTTGTAGTGATTGATTGAACTGATAAAGTGGTCGAGCATCTTGGAATACTGAGTCGAAGTGATGGAAAATCAACACTGATAAATCCAGTTGCGGCTTTAAAGATAATTTTGTAGGTGGCATATGTCCACAGATTGATGGGGCGCCTTCACAAAAGAACCTTGATGTGATTGAATGTCCATGCACGGTAAATCAGGCTCTGAGATAAATAAGGTGGCAACATCCATTATCGTCGAACAATGACAACCATCGGCTATGCTCAAATAAGACGTTGGTCGAGGATGTTTGTGAGGGTGTAAGAAAGGAAGGTCAATGACACATTCATCCATGAACGCAATGTACAGGTGTGATTGGTACACCATCACACATCTTCGTTTATCGTTGATGAAAGACTCTGATGGCATGCTGGTGGGTACATAATCGTAGCCATGGTAACCTTTAAGGTGGGGTAGAAAGGCATTCCTGCGATTCAAGGTACAGGATCGTCTTTGTGTGACACTACAATCTTGTGCTCTTTTTGTCGTGGCGTCGTCTCGAATATCATTTAGCCTCCTTTACCCCTCTCTCCCACACACAACATGAGCCGGAAGTCTCTTTTACAACGATTCCGAAGGCTCGATGCATACGCAAAACCATTGGACGATATACGCATTCGTACAGCGAGTGGTGCTTATGGTACGGATGGGAAGCTTGCATGGGCAACAAACACACACACACCTTCTCTCTGACATTGGACAACCATAGTATCGTTGATGAGTGGCATCGTTATCTTTATTCTATTCCTATACGAAGTATCACGCTATTTGACACCCGAGATGCAACCAGAGATTGTCGTCGATAGTGGCAAAATGGTATAGTCTATATACGGCGATTGCGATTGTGAAAGGGCTCGTTTGTTGACAGCTCTTTCTCCTCCATAGACCGACCTGCCTATATCCTTCAACATTACATTTCCACACTTGCCGTGTTACTGTAAGTACTTTTGTGTGCACGCACGAATAGCGACTCAATGGCTGATAAGATGAATGCAATAGTTTTGAGCTTGGATGTGATGGATGAAAGCGGCGACCACGTTACCGATTATGATCATGATGTGTTCAAAGTACGATTGGATGCTGAGGGCAACGAGATTCATCGTGAAAAGGCAACAGGTAAGGGTCATAGAGGAGGAGAAACTGGCCTTGAGGAAGAGACGCTGATAAAAGGGAAATAGAATTGAGCAACAAGTTGGATCCAACCAAGATGGCCGTGGATACAGAGGCAAATGACTATTGTGGTCCATGCTATGGCGCTAATCCCAAAGGCGAGGCCAATCCATGCTGCAACACATGCGATGATGTACGACGAGCCTATTCTGATATGGGATGGAAGTTACCGGATGAAAGTGACCTTGAGCAATGCGTCAACGAACACGTGACTTCGCAACAACAAGAAGGATGCAACATGCATGGTCAATTGAAAGTGAGGAGAGTGCGTGGCAATTTCCATTTCTCGCCTGGCAAATCATTCGTGTATGGTGGCGCTCATATCCACGACGTTCGCACTTATCTTTCCTCGCATCACGACTTTTCGCATATCATTCACTCGTTACAATTTGGCGAGCAAAAGGAGTTGGCAGCTTACAAACAAAAGAGGACCAAGATGACTGATCTTATCAATCCATTGGATGGTAGCAAGTGGGGAAATGCTCAATGTAAGTTGTACCTTTTTTTATTATGTGGTCGACACAGATTCTAATATGGGAGGTAATTTAGCAAGTATCATGTATCAATACTTTTTGAAGATTGTGCCGGCAGAGATCAATTATCTTAGTGGTAAATCGATCCATACCTATCAGTACTCAGTCAGCCGACAGGAACGTGATTTACAAATGCAAGCCAACAATGGATTACCAGGTAAGGAGCATAGGTCATGCTTTCTTGGTGATGGAGATCTAATAATGGGGTTGCATCATAGGCGTTTTCATCAACATGGACTTTTCTCCAATGCTGGTCATCTACTCGGAGACACGTCCCACTTTTGCAAGCTTCCTCACAGGTGTCTGTGCCATTGTAGGAGGGATTTTCACGGTAGCTAGTTTGATTGATGGGATCATTTATCGGACGTCACTTCATCGAAAGCGACAAATGGGTAAAGCTATGTAGAATAGAATAAAAAAGGGATCATTATTGTCTATTGAAGAAAGCTTTATTGCCATTTATCATTCCATGCATATAACAATCCTTGATGGCGATCACTTCATCCAAGCTTTATTATCAGAAGAGCACTTCTACCTAAATTCTGTAATGATCACGTGCCCGTTGTACTCTATTTTTTGCATTGTCGACTAATGTGAAACATGCTTCGTTGACCGTGCGCACGCCTCTGCCTTTAAAAAGAGAACAATTCAAGTTGGGAATTTGTGCCACCACGACCACCTCTTCTTTTCATTATGGAGCAGCTTGAAGCCCTTTTCTCAGAAGCGTCCATTCTGGTCTCGAGCGAGAAGAATGAAGAAACCTCAGGTTGTTGCTAGTGCCAGGATAAAGAGAAATGAGCCACTTATGCGACTTGTTTGCAGAGATCGCTCTCGACGATCAACTTGCCATGCGTCTTGATCGGCTTGACATTACTCGCGACTCGACTGAGACCACCAAACAAGCTTTTGTCAACAAATGCATGCAGCTTTTGAACGACATTCAACGAGCATTGTTACAAACTGAAGAAGACAATGAGGGTCAGTGCGTGTGTGTGTGTGTGTGTGTGTGTGTGTGTGTGAATGAGAGCGTGGACTTGTTCGATTGACCAAGCTTGATGTGCTTACTACAGCCAACCGTGACCATATGGGTGTGCGTGATTTAAGGATGGTTCATACCATGTTACAGACCGTGATATCGTGGGGCATGTATCCATGTTTCTTGCCGGGTGTGGGTGTTCCTCTCTCCAAGCGTGTCAAATCTGGCTACACAAACCATGGTAAGCTTGCATGAATATCATCCACCCATGACAAATCAACTAACTCGTCTTTGAAAAAGAACTTCTTGCACGACCTGAAGCGGATGAGAAACATGGCCAAGGCGAAAACGAGACGCGTTCACTTTTCCATATCACCAATCAACTTGTTGACATGATTGCTGCTTCGGTACAAGCACACAAGAGCTTCACCACGGTTGGATCTATTCTGTTAACACGCCATTTACCCGATCTTTACGCCGCTTTGCTTCAACTTGCTTATGGACCTTCACCTACAACTGCATCTTCATCATCGTCGTCATCATCACCGAGCACAACCATGCCAACCAACCCTTCACAAATCTTGCTAGCAGCAAAGCAACAACCCGTGGGATTGACACGTGCTGAAAGAGACAAATGTGCACGCATGTTTATGTGGTTGTTTGAGAGGCAAGTGAATGAGTGAATGGATTGAACCGAGTATTAACCCCCCCCCTTAAAATAGATCGGATGTACATCAATGTATGGAATCATTAATGCTCTTGTTGGGCACATCACCATTGCACCCAGTCCCTGCTTGGCTCCGAAGTATTTGTGGTCGCTTTTTATCAAGGATCCTGCTCAAACCCAGAGGAGTCGCCACTGTTCTCGAGTTTACGGTTGCTGATGTTGAGCAAGGTAAGAACAAAGGGAATGGTCATTGTTCGATACAAAAGGGTTAATTCTTTGTTCCAATTTCAGTACAACTGGATCAACTTGAAAAGGTCTCTAAGCTTGTTCTTGCTGTACCCAAGCAAATGCCATCCGTGGAGGTATGTATATATTATAGGGCATTGGCATCATGCATATCATCTAACACTCACCTTGTTACATCAGAGTTATTATGCCGTGATTGCTCCCCAGCTGGTTACTTTGCTGCAAGAGAGTGTACAGAATCCCAATGCCAGAGCATCTACTCGACAAGTGGTGACCTTTATTCTTGGCCGAATGATCACTCATCATCCAACTTTATCCAAATCGATGATTGTGGATCCGATCGTGGGGTCCTTTGTCAACACGTGGAACAAGCAACAAGAAGATACAACGACGGCTTCAGCGATGGATACGGATGACCAACAAGCCTTATCAGAATCTGAGCTCGAGTTACTACTACGAACATTGCATCAGATCATGGTGGGTGGTGAGCCTTCCGGTCAAGTGATTCAGGCGTTTCTCGACAAGGCGGTGCTTGCTCTTTATTACCTTTACGATTATACCGTCAAGTCAAAATCAGGCTTACGTGAGATGGTGTTGGATATTCTCAAAACCTATTTCCGCATTATTGGTTCGAATGAAGCTGTGAATGATTTGAAGCGGGTTGTCCTCAGCAAACGGGATTTGAGTGGATCACGGCTTGCTTACTTTGCGCCAGGATCGTCCGGTGGTGTTGAAATGCGTGTGCGAGCTTATCCCAAGCCATTGGGTGGCAATGAGCTTCCATTGGATCCCGCCGTCCTTGTCAACTTTATTTCACAAGCCAATAATCAAAGTCTGTGTGGTGACTTTTTTGTATTTTTACTAAGTGAATACTCTGGATTACAATCTTTGGCTGGTGATACGGATCCACGATTGTGAGTAAGATCCAAAGAGGAGGAGGAAGAGGATAGATGATCTCATTGTTTGATTATAGGATGCTGCTCATATTACATCTTATCACTGGCATGCAAGATACCCTGGGACCAGAAATCCTTTCCAAACCAGCACAAATTGTAGGATTTGCATCCAATGTCATTCATGGCTATGTGGAAAACATTGAACGGCTCAAGGAGAAGCAGCGTGCAAGCAACAGCAAAGCAAAGCAGCAAAGAGTGGATATCACCAATATCGTATCCTCGGAGGATGTGGAACAAGAGATACCCGATGATGAACAAGTACAAGAAGACTTTGAGTCATTGATCATGGCCATTAGTCTATTACGAGCAGTCATTCATGGTAAGCTTTAGACTCAAATCATGTGCATGATTGACTTATTCTTTCTTTTAGAAAACGATGAATTGGATACAAAAGTGAATCAGCTGTTGGAATCCACCATTGAGCCACTCAAGAAGCTCGAATCCTATCAGATTGAAGAGCTACAAGCACCTGTGCAAGAATTACTCCTCGCCATCACTTCCTTGGTATCAGCACAAAGAATGGCTCGAAGCAAGCGATCCGATGGTTTGGATGCTTCCAAGGAAAAGTATCGAGAGGCCATGAAGGCGCTTCAAGATGAGTTATTACCAGTCCGTGCTCATGGTATGGCTATGCTCAGGGATATGGTATTGGCCCGTGATCCACTTGTATCTTCTGGAGAAGGATTGGACAATGTATTGGATATCTTTATACGGCTGGTTCAAGATGAGGACAGGTAAATGGTTCACTTTTTTGCTTAGGAGTCGCTTTCGATATTAACCGGATGGGGTAGCTACATTTATTTGAATGCGATCAAGGGGCTATCAGCACTTACAGATACCCACGGCAACGAGATCATTAAGAAATTGGGTGCCATTTACAGCGACAATGCACAAACGCTTGATAATCGACTACGTATTGGTGAAGCATTGCTACAAACTGTGCAACGGGCTGGTGATGCATTGAGTATCTATGGTACGTGTATCTTCATTTTGAAGGAAAAGGATCAGGGCCTTAATGCTGTGCTCTAGTGAAAAACCTTGTGAAACCACTCGAAACGGTGTTGAATCGGCCTCAAGTTGACGTCCATCTTCGGGTATCAGCATTATCCATCCTCAGTACAGCGTGTCAAACTTGCCCAGCCGCCATGGCAGGCATGCTGCATGCACTTGTCGATTGGGTTTTGAATATTTTGGAAATAGAAAAGGCACCAGAGATTCGTAGAGGTAAGATACCTATATGGCATGGCGAATCCAATGAGCTCATTTTGCATGCTTTAGCTGCCACTGTGGTGATCATATCATTGTTCCGAGGCATGGCATCTGAGACGCTGTATAGTTATCCAAGCGAATACTTGAAGAGAACCTATAGGACGTTGCGATACATTGAAGACACGGATCCGGATGAGCTTACACGACATCAGGCACGAACAGCATTAGCGGATCTAGATGTAATTACACGTAGAGAAATTTTCAAATAGAGTTTGAGGTTTGGATTCAAGAGCAATGTATGAATGTTTGGTTGTATGAGGATATGGGCGATGGGATTGTGCTTTTGAGAATCCATGTATCTTGAATGACCAGCTCCAGTGTTCCAGGTATAATAAAGGTATTGATCTTTGTGGCAAGCGTATCGAGCCATGTAATAAGGTCAAGTTACGTATGCATACATAACAATCCTTTCTTGGACCTTGGAAAAATGCTTAGCAGATTGAGATCACCGATGCTAACTTATATTGCACCCATGACAGCAACATGCAGGTCTTTTTACGATGTCGGCTATTCGGCTATCATAACGATGACGATCCATCACTTCCATTTTTCGGCAATCAACGACACCACGCATACCATACATACTTTCCAAGTGTCATCAAGCGTCATCGCCACCCATTATTTACGTATTCCTGGGAGAGAGTGTGAGATTGGATGGGATTTACCTGGAGCTGCATGAACAATGGATGCATTTTTTTATTTCCTGATATGGATACAGGAAGCTAATCCAAGATGGATAAATGTTCTTAAGCATGGTGATGCATAAGTAAGCTGTGACAGAAATTGGGTCGGTGCAGCATTCGGCAAGGACATACAGAGCACGTGCGCCATGAAATATGCTTTTTGTTTACATGGGGTAGGTATTACACAACCCTGACAAGACCCTGGTAGCATCATGATTTTGGCGATCTATGTAAACTTGCTGTTTCCCAGAAGCGTGGTTGTTGTAGTACAATGGTTTAAACATTCATGCCTACAAGAGGTTGTCGTTGAAAAGAAGTGGTCGAGTTTGGCTGAGAACCAGCAAGAAGCAGAAACGACATCACCGTGCTGACGATTTTAAACTGAACCGGGATGGATCGGTTGCATAAATTATCAATGATTAAATGTTGCGCGCTTCTTTTTATTCAATACCCCCCTCATCCCGCGACCCTTTCACAAAACCGATCTTCCTTTTATTCTTCTTTGCCCACTTGTATATACATCCCATCTATTCCGGGCGCTATTGTGTGTAATATGATTCATCGACTTTTCCTCCTAATGGTCGTCTTGATGACGGCAACCACCATCTATGCCGATGATCGTAGTCGGCATCATCAGCCTATTCATGAAAAATTGAGCATTGAGCAAGGTTATTATACTCGTCTTGGTGAACCCACCCCATTTGGTATGTATATAAAGACGTTGTTGTTTGTGTGACACTTTTTGTTGGAGAACAATGCGCACGTCGGGTATTCAACAAGCACTTTTGACTAACCAATTGCTGTCGTTGTATATGAAAAAGGATACATCCACTACATGGAAGGCACATTCCGAAGGTTTTTGCCTGATCAACCCGTACATCAACAACAACAGCAAGACGCTGGTATCGAACAAGAGTTTCCCGATTATGTCTTAACGGTGCTTTCCAATGTCAATTATACAGCTGCCGATGCACCCATTTACTTTGAGGGTCTAGTGAGCCGATCCACTTTTATGCAACTCGACCATCACTCGTTACGAAGGGCAGCTATCATGCTTCAATTTACAACGTATGCATTTGATGAAGCATCCCAATCATGGTTTCGACGATTCTATAGTGGTGATCGACTTCGAGGACGAGTGGGTGAAGCCTTGGTGGATCCTGTTGATGCGGGTGAACGCTTTAAGCTTGTTTTGCGTATTGATCCACTTCCAGGGCTCATGCAGCGCTTATGGATTGCAAGGAATGCAGAAGAAACACCGCGTGGCGTGTTTTGGGGACCCAAACCAGAAGATACAAATGAAAAATTCCAGCAAATTGTCATGAATGACATTGTGTTTTAGAAACAAAGGACATAAAAAATAGCATTTGGAACAAAGAAATGAGCTGTGTAGAGCATACATAACCACGTGGTTTCCCACCCAGCATATTTTTTATCGTCGTCAATGGTGGGGTGGTACAAAAGGGGAAATAGGGGAGAGGGGGGAAAATGATAAAGTGGTAGTGTCGTCGCGTGATTGGTGCGTGGGAGGTAAAGCTTGTCAAACGCGTGTTCTATTCTCACATTCACACACCCACGCGTGCAGGTGGCCTGTGTGCAAGTATGAAACAAATGATAAATAAGGCACTCCAATAAATAAATGCAAAGCCGTGAATACACACACACACACGTTTAAAAGTGTGTATCCATATCCCCCCTCATTAGCAAATCGATTCCTGACAAAACAGGGGATTAAAAGGTATGTGGATGATGATGGTGATGATGCGTACCACATCACCCGTTAAAAGGAGGGGTTCAAGGGCCTCACATTTGATAGAGCCTTCACATACACGAAACACGTTACACCCCAAAAAATGACTGCGGAGGCAAACAGATCGAGAAAAAGGTTTATGCAAGTGGTGCAGATTTGCACGCTCGTGCCTATGAATGGATGATGTAGCATAGATAAGCGACACTACTACTATTAAAACGAGGAGCGTGTGTAATTATGCACCAAAGATAGTTGGGTGAGTGTGGGAGTATGGTGGTTTTGCACTGACTTGGTGGGGGAGATGTGTGCGGGGTGTTGGACAAAAAGATGTAGTGTTAAAGCAGCAGGAACATACAACACGTCAGTTTGCTTTCCCACCCAAATAAGTTGCTTTCCCTACAAAGTTCCCTACTTGCATCTCTTTCTTTCTTTCCTCTTTTTTTTCACACACACACACACACACAATATCAACATGTCCTCCTCTGTTTTATCACATCCTTCTTATGCCAACATGGATGACAACCGTAACACCACCATTCGCCCAGACAACTTTTCCGATACATCGTCCAACAGCATACCTACTACACCCGCCCTTCCTAAAGAACATCGTGATCTTTTGAAAAAGGATAACAACAACAACAGCACCACGTTCGTATCAGAGGATGTTGATAATTATGCTACTGCTGAACATGTGGCAGCTTGGCTTCCTCTTGATGACCCTCCAAAGGATAACAATACAAGCAACCATGATATTTTGATTGATGCTATACCGCCCCTTCCAGCCAAGGCCACCCGTTTACCTGCACCTGCAGCTATTTGGAAAACATGGGACAGCCCAACATTGCTTCCTTGGGGAAATGACAGCATTTGGATGTCTTCCAATAAGCAACGTCGTTTCAGCACAAGCTTACCACCAGCATTGTTGCCATCTGCTACGCCGACATCGATCACAACACCCAAGAGAAGAACATCTGTTACGACCCTTTCCTCCTCCTCCATGCCCTATCATCGTCGCTCTTCTTTTCCTGACACTGTGCTTTCGACTACGGATCAAAGCAAAAAGGATTATTGGCAATCATTGGTATCAGGTGATCTAGATAGGTAGAGTATATCATCCCATTTATTTTTTTGGGGGAATAGGGTGAGAGTGATCAAAAAAGGGGATATCACTAACATATACGTAATGGATGTGTCATGTTGCTTGAATAGACCGTTGTATACAAAGACCGACGCCGCTTTTCGTCGTTATTCGTCGCCGTCTTGTGCTGCAGCAGCGGCATCATCGTCATCATCCATGTGTCACCAAGATCCGCCTTTGAGCCCTGAACTTATGCAACGTATTGATGACTATTTTAGCAGCACCCCATCGATGAGTAATCGTATGAACGCGGGTTCATTGGCTGCATCCATGTCCTCAATGACTGCAAGTGAGGTGCAGAATATGGGCAAGGGTGTTCCCCTGCTTGAATTGTTACACGATGACACTGTCACCCTATTTACGGTGGAACTGGCACCTGGACGACAAGACATTTATTATATGCAGCATGATGAAAATCATAATGAAGTGGTGAAAGAAGGTGATTTGGTGATTGTGGAAGCTGACCGTGGACAAGATATGGGTCAAGTGAAAGGAGTTTTTGCCAAGACTACCACCAAGGATGATGACGACGACGATGATGGAGATGACAACAACACGACGTGTATAAGACGATTGTATCGATTGGCGACTCGTGAAGAGATTGCCACCTTACCTACAAAAGCACAAGATGAAGCCAAGGCGTTATTGGTGTGTCAAAGCAAGATCAAAGAACGTGAATTACCGATGCAGGTGCTGAGAGCCGAGTACCAATGGGATCGTCGTAAATTGACCTTTCATTTTACTGCTGAAGAACGAGTCGATTTTAGAGAGTTAGTGAGAGAGCTGTTTAAGCTATACAAAACCCGTATTTGGATGTGTGCCATCAATAACAAGCATCATCACCATTCTTCTTCCTTTTCCTCATAAGAAATACAAATAAAGAGAAAGACATACAATTTGACAACACCAAGGAGATGATGTTGGGTAGGGATTTCCTGATTTGGCAATGTCCTTTTTTCTTGCTCAGAGTGAGTTGTCGCGGATAAGCCATCCATCCCATCATGCGTTTTCTTGGTTCTTGTTTTTCCCTTGCACGTCGTTCATATACCCGCCACTCGCCAATGACCACCATGCGTCACTTTGAAACACAAATCCTACCTGTTCAGTCAGCGCATTTCCAGTTCCAAGACGAGAGTCTCAATGCCAAACCTGTTATTACTCATGCAAAAGACCAGCAAGCGATTGACCAAGCTGTCGAATGGCTCAAACAAGGTGAAGCTGTAGGTATCCCTACCGAAACAGTCTATGGTCTTGCAGCCAATGCCCTCTCTTCAGACGCCGTAAGCAAGATTTTTGCTGCCAAGAATCGGCCTCAAGACAATCCACTTATCGTCCATGTGTCGTCATTGGCCATGTTGGAGTCCATGTTGCCCGATCGCAAGATACCTGCAGTGTATCTTCCCATTGTCGAGCGTCATTGGCCAGGACCCTTGACTATCATTGTACCCGCCCATCCTGATATTGTACCCGCTTCGGTGACATGTGGTCAACCTACTGTGGCAGTACGCTTTCCAGCACATCCAGTCGCACGTGCGTTGATTGATGCATGTGGTTTCCCGCTCGCTGCTCCCTCTGCTAATGCATCTGGTAAACCATCGACAACAACAGCTCAACATGTGTACGATGATCTTCAAGGAAGAATCCCTGCTATTTTGGATGGGGGTCCGTGTCGTGTGGGTGTGGAAAGTACCGTCTTGGATGGATTGAGATCACCAGCTGCTATTCTACGTCCTGGAGGTGTTACCTATGAAGCTTTGGCGGATTTGTTACCTGGCCTTCAAGTGTATCGTAAGGATTTTGTGGATAAGGCTCTTGAAGAAGCACCTACAACACCCGGCATGAAATATCGTCATTACTCTCCCGATGCGCCTGTTGTTCTTATTGATGCCAATGTCCATGATTTCGAACAACGATGGAAGGAGGAATACAATGCCCATTTCAAGGATGCTACCAAGGTGGGATTATTGACATCAAGAACCAACAAGAGTGATGATCAATCATCATCGGTGACAGTGGAACGTATCTCGATGGGTACATCAGCTGAGGAGGTAGCACGCGGTTTATTTGGTGGATTACGTGATTTGGATACTCGCAACGTCGATGTCATTTTCGTTCAAGGCGTCACTGAGACACAAGAAGGCATGGCGGTTATGAATCGTTTACGCAAGGCTGCTTCCAAAGTGTGTACATAGATCCATTCTATCCTATTCTCTCTTTTTTTTCCTCTTTTCTTTGTTACTCCCCACTCTCTTGCTCTCTCTCTCTAATACTGTATAGAATCATTTTTCTTTCCGCCCTTGTACCCATACACTTTTTGTCTTTCATTGTAGATTGTAATATTACACGCAGGCAATCATATCAGTCTCATTATTGCCTTTTTTTTTACTATCATGAATCATTGGGGTGTCCTTAGGATGGTGGATGTATTGATTTGAATTGGGACAAACATGTTGAGCTACCGGTTGCCATGGCAAGGTAGCGTTGCTATGGAATCGTATATAGTGAAATCACATGACATGTTGAAAAGCTATCAGTGGACGCACATTAAATAGCCGTATGCAGATTTTGTATGCACCCCAATAAAATGAGCTTTGGTAATATGATCGGTTATATATAACTCTATAGTGCATGTGAAGTACGCTATTCCCATGTTTCAAATTTGGGAGGTATGCAGCTATGGAGGTGCATCTACATAGTGTCAAGGGTGGCAATGAGGAATGAAATATGATCACCCTCGCTGCTTACTGCACCGGACATGCACACCACTATTACGAGTAGGTTGACAACATGGGAAGTCACCTTTATATTAATGGGGATGTGCATTATGTGTACAAGTGATTAATTTCCTCGATAGATTTCTTATCGCCTGCCCTTGTATTTTGGCCGATGTATGTATGCATAGACAACACTACACGTAAGTTCCTCAGACTTAATCCTGGTATGTATATGCGCCCCATCAATTTATCAGCTCATGTATCAATTTTTCAATCCATCATCCCCAACAGAAGACAGAAATACCCACGCCACAATGCACAATAAAAGGATGTTGTCGCCGTCCATCATGCTCCCACACATCTCTTTCCTCTGTCATACTTCTTTTTGATTGCCTACAAGGTCAAATCACCAAGGTTTGTGTGTACATCGCTTCTTTCAACCTGTGGATAAGCGCTGATCTTTGTGGTCATTCATAGGGTTTCTTTGTTATCCTGCTTTCATTGTTGTCGTCGTCCTCATTATGATATTGGATTCTTATAAAAAGGTAAACCATAATCATGTTGCTTGATGAGTCACTACTCATACACGCCACCTTGTTACTTTCGATATAGCTATCTCTCCGTGAAGCATCTGCAAAAGTTGGTTTCGGTGCCATGGCCTGCGTCGGTTGCAGAAATTGACTTGGTGCATTTGACATGGTGCAAATAGCAGGAGCTTACTGCTTAAGTTTTTCAGTTCCGATGGCGGCAGAAGGGGAACCACCCCATCCCCCATGGTGGGCAAAAAGCTACACGCGTGTTTCCACTTGACGGGCCAAGGAATCGATAATTACACATCGATAATTACGCACGCCCACCATATGCATTGAAGGTTTGTCCGATGATTCGGGTTTGGATGCTGTATTGACTTGACCTTTTCATTGCAGTGGACAGCTGAATCGTTGGATCTGGTGGACGAGTTTTTGAACTACCGATCACAAATCATTCAAGATGCCAAAATGTTGGTACCATTGTCACATACCGATCGACTGTAAGTTGAGCATACCGAAAGCTACATAGATATTTAGACTAATCAAACCACTAGTGCCATCAATTTCATTTGTCATATATCAAGTACTTCGCACATTGGCAACAAGATGCCTTTGAACGTGTGGGAGGCCATGATGAAAAGTTGCATGCAAGACTACAAGATCGGCATGTTGGATGATGGGCATGCTGGGCTGGAGCAGGGCAATCGTTCACATGCATTGGATTGGGCAATAAAAGTGAATGGGAGGAATGGGCTATTAGCCGGCAGTTTACAAATAACTTACCAATTTGATTCTTCGATATTGGATGATGTTTCTGTGTTTGAGCATTTTTCAGTCAAATCTCATCGGATCAAGAAAGTTGAATGATGGGCATGCTGGGCTGGAGCAGGGCAATCGTTCGTATGCATTGGATTGGGAAACAAAGGTGAATGGGATGAATGGGTTATTAGCTGGCATTTTGAACTATTCCTATATAGTGTACAAGAATCATGCATCGCCTGTGCTGAATGACTCAAGTTACACAAGCACGCCCTCTGCATCTTTTGCTCTATTATAGTCATACTACTTGACATTAAACAAAGACCATTTCTCATATAGCATCACCCTTACAGCATATGTAAAACATAAAGGCGCCTGTATCTCTAAACTTTACAATCAAACGTGGGCTCTTTAATAGATCAACGTGCTTGTCGGGGTCAAAGGAATCTTGTGTCAAAGTATGAAGTTCATCGTAGGCAATCCCAGATTTCGCAATGTCGCTACCAGCCAAACTGGATCTGGGGGTTGACCTCTTCGACGACGACGACCAAAATAATATTTTTTGGGCTAGTTGCGACATTGAACGTGAAACTTTCACACAAGGTGCTGTTGGCCAAGCCGAGCCCATTGCTGTAATAAAAACCCCACGTTTCATTGTAAAGTTTGGAAATACAGGCACCTTTATGTTTGTAAGTGTGATGCTATAAGAAGAGTGGTCTTTGTTCATTGTCAAGTAGGTGGACCCTGGCAGAGCAAAAGATGCAGAGGGTCGTGTTGTGTAACACAGCTACGTTTGCATGAATGAAAGGGTCAATGTATAATTACTTTATGGATCATCTAGGAACAGGCATGTATTGCTAGCTAACGGCCAATTTCCTTTATCCAATCATCATTGTTGCGAGATCCACTGCATGGGAACGATGCCCCTGCTCAAGACATTCATTTCCATTATCAAAGTAGGTTGATCCGAGCTGATTTGACTGAGCTGCGGTCAAAGAGAGATTACATCACTTGACATAGAGCACGCTATCATCATTGTTGCGAGATCCACTGCATGGGAACGATGCCCCTGCTCAAGACATTCATTTCCATGATTAAAGTAGGTTGATCCGAGCTGATTTGACTGAGCTGCGGTCAAAGAGAGATTACATCACTCTGGACATAGAGCACGCTCGATGTAGCTCAACCGATGTAATCTTGTGTGAGCGTAACTCAACCAAATCAGCTCGGATCAACCTACTTTAATCATGGAAATGAATGTCTAGAGCAGGAGCATTGTCCACCTACAATAGAATGCACAAAAGTTGAGAATGCACAAAAGTGGCTATTAGCTGCCAATGTGTGACATAAAAGTGAGGGTTGCGTACCTATCATGCATTGTCCCTGAAGTCCTGACTTTTTAGCTGAGTTACCCAAAGAGGTCCTTCTGCATCTTTGGCTCTCTAGGGTCTAGCTACTTGGCAATGAACAAAGGCCACTTCTCATATAGCATCACGCTTACAAACATAAAGGTGCCTGTATCTCCGAACTTTACAATGAAGTGTGGGGTCTTTAAGAGAACAAGCTGCTCGGCTGAGTCAAAGCGATCTTGTGTCAAAGTATGAAGTTCATCGTGGCCAATCCCAGATTTCGCAATGTCGCCACCAGCCAAACTGGATCTGGGGGTCGACCTCTTCGACGACGACGACCAAAAAGATCTTTTTTGGGCTAGTTGCGACATTGAATGTGAAACTTTCACACAAGGTGCTGTTGGCCAAGCTGAGCACATCGCTCTAATAAAAACCACACGTTTCATTGTAAAGTTTGGAGATACAGGCGTCTTTATGTTTTACCTATGCTGTAAGCGTGATGGAGTTGCTTTTTCCTAGTGGATGGTGTCGGCTGCATTAACGGAAAGATGAAGAGCTGAGTGAAACGGCACGTGGTGGTTACACAGACACGTCCTTGATAGGTTGCTACACAAATGGATAGATGATGATGATTGCCTTTTGTGAAGGTACGTAAGTAAACAGCATCC